AGCTAGGTTTCCAAATTCTTAATGGATAGAATGCACAAGTTCAATATATTTTAACACACCATCTTCACAGTAAAGTTGTCCCTGTCCGTACTTTATACAGTATCTCAACAAATACAAAATTTCCTGTTGGTTATCCAGATGTCATTCTTTTTATATGTAACTATATGATTTGTCTCTTTTAAACTAAACTAACAAGACATTGAGTTACAAACACACCATCTTAAAAGTGATGAGAATGAAACTGAATGAAGTTTTCAGGACAATGAGAAAGTTGCTTAGCAATTAATGGGAAGGTATACACTGAAGTAAATGAGAATATCGTCTTGATACAGTCATGCTTCCTTTATCTTTTTTCCCAATAATTTTTAATTAAGGCCTACACAGTATCATTCTGGGCTCTCTCTTCCCCAAAAGATTTTCCCAAGGAGCATCTCATTTCGAATGTCCTAGTCTTGTTCACTTGGCTGTCAGTGCAGGAGGCATCTCTCAAAGGTAGGAAAATGTCTTGTATTTCTAGGTGTTAAGAAGCCTGTAAGGGCACTTTGGAGCACTGAATCCCCAGAAATTAAAAGGGGTCTGTGCATTTATTTTGGCAATGAAAACCAGCAAAGGAAAAAAAAAAAGGATAAGGAATAGTAATAGTTACTAATTAAAGGGCTTTATAGTTTACAAAACACTGAAATTTTTAACAGTAATATAAAAGTTTAATTTTTTGATTTCTAAACTTATAAAAAAAAAAGAGCATCACTACAAAAAAATAAGATTCTCTCCGAGTTCATGTTTATATTAATTGCAGTGTTTTCATGAGGGAAAGCGTTTTTGAGAGTTTTCACAAACTCAGATTTAAGAGGCAACTCTGCAACTCTCCTGTTGAGCTGATAATAGCTGTATATATGGAGAACTCCACAATTCGTCCCAGAATCAGGTCATTCCTTATGCTTCTGAAAAATAGAAACCAGTCCTCCTTCAGTATTAATGACCTACTTCTCTTAGGGCATGTTCAAAAACACTCCTTAGAATTGGAATATTTGGGATGGGGATTTTTTTCTCCCCCCTCCCCAGGAAATCTACTCTGTGGCCAAGCTGTTTGTTAGACCATTCAAAGCGAGGACAAAAACTCAACTTCACAAGAGGTGCTATGCAGCAAATAGCAATTAAAACACTTCTCTACTTCTGTGAAACCTTCCAAACTTTCCAAAGATGAAAAACTACTCCAGCTAGTTGTTTATGCAGATTAAATATTTTACTACCTTAAGAAAGCACTTGTACTGTTGTGTGTGTGTGTGTGTGTGTGTGTGTGTGTGTGTGTTTTGGTAGAAGTATGTAATACAGTGCTATATGTGTTCCATGAAAGGGTAACTCCTAATTACGGGATAGAAATACTGTTTTTCCTTAGAGAAATGATTTGCTTTGGGTCCTGAGTAAATCTGACGTGTTTCCTTTTGAACACTTTTGGAGCCAGTGTTTGTAAATGTGGTGAAGTTCATTTCTAGACAGGCCTGGACTGGAGCTGTGAGTCTTGAATCACTGCACAGTGCTCTAATTGTATTTTTATTTTACTTAGAAAATAATTCCTAGATTGAGTCTCACGCGGCTTTATAAATAATCTATAGAGTTTTAGACACTGATGTATACAAGCATTATACTTTCCTGCTCTGCCACAGAGGAAAGATTTTCCTATATGGGTCCAAAAATTAAGATGTAGAGCAATAGAAAATTGGTTACATGGCCTCAGATTCTTTGGTCCCAAAATATCTAAGATGAAGAGTAAAATCTGAAGCTTCTTTTGTGATTGCCCAGGTTTTCACAGTGAAGGGCACACATTAACAATACCTCTTTAGCCACTGCAGGGAAGGCTGAGAAAGCTTCCAATTGCAAATGAAGTTGCAGGCTTAAAATGTTAACTTTACAAGTGAAGAGGTTTCAAAAGTTAATAAAAATCCACTGTTTTTCCTTTGGGTTTGTACCTAATGTAATCATCTTAAATTCGAACTTTTTTTTTTCCTTTTTAAAGTAGCCATAAAAACGACCTTCCAACATTTAATGGCTCTTCTTGAAAATCAATTGTTTTGATCTCTGGGGAACCTGTAAACAAACTAACCTATCTGTGGGACTAGTGGGTAAAGGATGCTTAACAATGAGGAAGTCTAGATGGGGATTAAAGCCAATACTGAAAGAATTCAGAATACCAAGGAAAAGACTTCTCTGAAGCCCAGACACAGGAGGAAGGGATCTACCTGGGAGGTCTTCTTAATGGGAATCTTGGTAGTTTATTATTAAGCAAAGGAAATTCACTCTCTGCAGCTTAGGGGGAAACTGCATGCGTCCTTATTTTAAAGGGGCAACATTTGTACTATACAGTGTTATAGATTAGATATAAACTCTGGACACTTTCCTTCCAACTGCAATTCTTGGGTAAAGTTGCAAGCACAGGGTGACAGATTTTCTGTGACTGTCCCATTTACCTGCCCTTTGTCATATTTCAGCTACGCTGGGGGACACCATGATGACTTCCGCAGCAATAACTGGGCAGCTCTCTGGCATCGCTGGCAACTGTACTGCACTGCCACACTCTTTCACTGTGCATTTCGAGATATCCTGCAAGGCACGTTGCCACTTATGTATTCACTTGGCCTCCCCGAGGAAGATCAGAGGACTCCTTCCTAAGTCTAGAACTCAATCCCTGCTCAAACCCAGGGGAGAGAAAAGGTTAGGGATGGGAGGGGGCGTCCTCACCGAGCCCACCGGCGAGTCACGCGTCGTACCTTGTCCGACTGGGGGCTGATGGCGGTGCCGAACCTGCAGTAGGTCACGAAGTGCTCGCAGTTGTTCCACAGTAGGCTGTAGGAAGTCGTGCCCAGCAGCTTCTCCGCCCTCTGAGCCACCTCTTCGTTGAGCAGCGCCTTTTTCTTGAGGGACTTGTCCAGGTGATTGACCAGGATGTCGGCACCGTAGGCAAAATCCTCCACCGTGTCCACGCGGATGCTGGCCACCTTGACAATGACGCCCAGGACGAGACGCTTGTTAGAGACCACCTTCTGCGTGAGCCCCTTGTCGTCGGTCAGGGCCAACAGGATGTCCGGCATCATGTGGGCGACACGGTTGTCGCCCAGGTAGATGCCATAGTGTGTGAAGTTGGTCCGGGGCACCTCCAGCACGTCGCCGCGGAGGAAAGAGTTTACACTGTAAGTGGTCCTTGCCTTGTTCTCATCCGGGGTGCCCGAACTGAAGAGCTTGAAGTTGGAGATAAGGAGCAGCTTCTCCAGCACTAGGGACACCGCCTCCAGCATCGGGTTCTTCATCCTGCAGGGAAAAGAGAGTTTTAGGGGGACTGCCGCCCCTCGGGCGCCGGCCGGGACTGGCAAGGTGAGCTGGCGAGACAGGGCGCTGCGCCGCTGCTCACCTGCCAGCCAGCCGCTCCGGGCCGCGGGGCAAGCCGGCTGCGGAGGAGGGAGGGCGAGAAAAAAGGGAGAGGAAGAAGCCTGGAGATTGGCTTGGCCGAACCGCACTGCGGACTGAGAAGGGTAAGGAACTGGCGGCGGCGGCGGCTGGTGGCTGGACAGTGGGACCCGCGCCGCAGGCAGCAGGCGGGGACCAGCACCTGGTGGCCGGGCCGGGGCGCAGGGCCGCGCGCGGTGCTCTGCGTGGCGAATTCTCTAAGGCCTTTTATTGCCGTCGAGGGGGCGGGGCTGAACGCCGTCACAAACCCAGCGAGAGCGCTGATTGGGCGCCGGCGGCGAGCGCGGAGCGCCGCGGGGACGGCCGGTACTCGAGGCTCTTTGCAAGCAACCAGCAGCCTCTCGGCTTCTGGGGTTCCGCCCCGCGACCCCTTTACAAGCTCAGGCTTCCTGTCGCATTCGAGACTTTAGCACTTCCCGCCTCTACGCGGCCGTGTTTGGAGAATAGAGGCCGAGCGTGGCCGCACAAAAGATCCTGCACCTGTCTAGAGTGGGGCACGCTCTGGGCACTTTCTGGGACGTTTTTGGTGGAAATTCCCCTGAAACGAGATTTCTGAGCACAATCACCTCCCTCTAAAAGGTTGGATACCCGGAGAACAAGTGTTACTCAAATGTTTGCATTAACTCTGAGAAGTGTGAGCGCCTCGAAAGCCTGCAGACTCCCTCCTAAACTCCGGAGAGCGGTGGTCCCGCACATCGCGCAACTTTCTACCCTTTAAAAGTCCCGAAGGACGCTTGCTTTGGGCTGGCGCGCGGGTAGGGAGCGACCCCGCGAGCCATCGGAACCCCAGGCGCCTCGGCGCTCCGAGGCACCAGTGACCGTTGAGCGCACCGCTCCCAACGGTCAGCGAGTAAAACGGCGAAGCGCCCAACGTCCTCCCGGAGAGCCGGATTGATGTCGAAATTTTATTTCTTCGACTTTAGGGTCACATGGACCCAGCTTCGGTTCACCCACCGAAACTTTGCTGCTCCCTTTTAAAGCGCAGCCCTCCGAGGTGGCCGAGGAAGGAAGAGGCACTGCGTTCCTTGCCCGAGCGCCTGCGGCGGGCCCCAGGTGCACCGGCGAGGGGCCCTGGGGAGCGCCCGGGCCCGGGAGCTGCGGTCACGACGTCCGCCCTGGGCTCCGCACTTGGTGTCCCGACCCAGCGCAGAGTTCCGCGATAACACATTATGTAAATGCTTGAATTCCTCGGACAAAGGCCACAATGGAGAGCCTCGCTTGCCTCCACAAAGCCGCCCAGTGCGGGGCTAATAGGTTTCGTCAGCGAGCAGATTCTTCGCCCGCCTGGGGGAGGGGCTCCCTGCGGATGATGGATGAAGGGACATTCATCTTACCTGGAAGATGAAGGGGACCCTGGAGACCAGACGGGGAGGAAGCCGGCTCCCC